ACTGTTCCTAATCAGCTGCTTCTCCTCCAAGTGCTTCGAAATGGATTCCTTGAGGATCTGCTTCATGAATTTTCCAGGGACTGAGGTGAAGCTGACTGGTCTGTAGTTCCCTGGATCCTCTTTTTTCCCTTTCTTAAATATAGGCATTATGTTTGCCCTTCTCCAGTCGTCCAGGACCTCTCTCCTGATCGCCACGAGTTTTCAAAGATGATGGCCCATGGGTCTGCAGTCACATCAGCCAACTCCTTCAGCACCCTTGGCTGCATCCTGTCCATCCCATGGACCTGTACATGTCCAGCTTTTCAAAATAGTCCCTAACCTGTTCTTTCAAGTAGTGTTGCTGCTCACCTCCTCCCCAAACTGTGCTGCCTGGTGCAGTAGTCTGGGAGCTGGCCGTGCCTGTGAAGACTGAGGGGAAAAAAGGCATTGAGCCCTTCAGCCTTTTCTGCATCCTTTGTCACAAGGTTGCCTCCCCCGTTCAGTAAGGGATCCACACTTTCCCTGATCCTCCTCGTGCTACCAATGTACTTGTAGAAACCCTTCTTCTTACCCTTCACATCCCTTGCTAGCGGCAACTCCAGTTACACTTTGGCCTTCATGACTTCATCACTGCATGCCCAAGCAATGCTCTTATATTCTTCCCTAGTTAGTTATCCAAGTTTCGGCTTCTTATAAGCTTCCTTTTTGTGATTTAGTTTACTGTAGAGTTCCCTGCTAAGCCAAGCTGGTCTGCTGCCATACTTGCTAGTCTTCCTGTGCATCAGGATGGTTCATTCCTGCACTTTCAGAAAGGTTTCTTTAAAATACAACCAGCTCTCCTGAACAGCTTTCTCCCTCAGATTGGCCTCCCAGGGGATCCTGCCCACGAGCTCCCTGAGTGAGCCGAAGTCTGCTTTTCTGAAGTCCAGGGTCCTTATTCTGCTGCTCTCCATCCTCCCTTTCCTCAGGATCCTGAACTCAATCATCTCGTGGTCACTGCTGCCCAAGTTTCCGTCCACTCCTACATTCCCCACCAATTCATCCCTGTTTGTGAGCAGCAGGTCAAGAAGAGTATGGCCTCTAGTTGGCTGCTCCAGCACTTGCACCAGGAAGCTGTCCCCAGTACTCTCCAAAAACTTTCTGGATTCCCTGTGCACTGCTGTATTGCCCTCCCAGCTGATGTCAAGGTGATTGAATTCCCCCATGAGAAACAGGGCTTGTGGTTGGGAAAATTCTCCTAGCTGTCTGAAGAAAGCTTCATTCACCACTTCCTCCCAGTCTCGTGGTCTATAGCAGATCCTCACCACAGCATCACTCATGTTTCTCTCCCCTCTGACTCTAACCCAGAGACTTTCAACAAGCCTGTCTCCAGTTCCATACTGGAGCTCCTGGCTGTTACTGGAAGGAACCTGCAAGCTGTGGTTTCCACAGCGCCAACCCTGGACCTGGGTGGAAGCGTCAATGATGAGCGGTCCTGCCTGGACAGAAACCACACAGGTGCAAGCAGTGGCTCTGGCATTGTGACGTCCTCCAGCCATTTCCCTGGGTCTCTTAATCTGCCTTCTCTTTCTTACTGCTCTTCTTCCAAGCACACCTTCCTTAGCGAACTCACCGGGAAGCTGTCCTGTCCATTGCTTGTTGTCCCCAAAGGATTTCTTTTTTTCCTGCGTCCTCATGCCAAGCTGAAAGACTTGCCTATCAAAGGGGTGGGGGGCAGGAACTGGCCTGCAAACTGCTTACCCAGTTTGCAGCCCCTGTTTGCTGGCTCCCTGGTCACTGGCTGGGCCAAACCCCCTTCCCCCATGGGGCTGGGCTGCCCCTCTGCATGGCGAGGTGGGGCCCTGCCATGCCCACCCTGGGCACCGGATTGGGTCTATTGGCCATATCCAGCCTGCAGAGGGGTTGGGAACTGCCCATCTAGCCCGCTGGCCAAAAATGTTGAGCAACATTAGTCTACATTAAGCATATAATATTGGCCTCATTGCCCAGATACTATAGTTGTTGACACAATATACATGCTTATGCCCACAGCCAAGCACCCTTCATTCTTACATATTTGAGCTTCTGTGCAGAGGTCTCTCTCTCCCAGGGGCTCTGTATACACGGCTCATTAAATGGCCAACTAGCGCAAATAATCAGCAATGCTTGCTCATGCCAAAAGCTGTTAGGATTGGGAGTCTGCTGTGTTGCATTTGAAGAGCCCAAGGCTGCTTTCTGTTTTACCCACTCCAGTTCCCTTCAGTAAGACCCAGCTCCTGAATGTCAGCCAAAAGTGTCCAATAGCACTTCAAGTCTCATGTGTTTTCGAGAGGACTGTAGTCAAAGATAAACTCCCACAAAGTGGCTGTCATTCAGAGCAAATGTGCACCATATGAAAGCCACACTGTGCTTATGCCCAGAAGGCCCGGGTTCAGGGAAATGCAACACCTGGAACCGTTTTCTACTATTTTGAACGCTGTTCCAGTACCGTATCCCAGATAATGGACTTGCCTTGAGAGTGCTGTTTGAATTGTCTTTGTGCCAAAGCAGCTGCCCTGAAATGTAAGTGGTCAGTATAGATAGAGAAGTGTGATAGGTAATTTTCACAAATCTTGGTGATCCAGAGATGGATATTGGGGCAGCCTGTGCCTCTTTGAACCTTGTTCGGGCTTTGTTACACCTTATGCTGTAAGCTGAACAAATGTTAATCAGCTTAGTGTTGTTCGGCTTAGTGAAGCAGTTGCATTTTAAGTGAAAAACCATCTCTGACTGTCCTTCACCTGCACAGCTGTGGCTTGCCACTGTGGACTGAGTGAGCATGAGCAGGACTAGGAGCTAGGGGCAGGACCCTCTCACTGCTCCCACTGGGCAGACCGAGTGCTGCAGCTCTGGAGCACCCTGTGGACACAGTGCCTCCCACCACTGCCTGGACTGGCTCATTGCTTGAGCTCTGAGGGGCCTGATCCTTTTTTTCTCTGGGGCCCTCTCCCCTGTGCTGCTTTGGTTGGGCTGCCAGCCAGCCAGGCACCACCTCAGCTCCGACAAGGATCGGGCCCCTCAGGCAGTGACTGGCCAGCTGGCAAGTCACCTCCCCCTGTGCCACCTCTGCCCAGGCTGCTGGCCAGCTGTGTGCTATCTGAGATCCCAAAATGATCAGGCCCCTTGGAGCTCAGGCGGTACCTGGCTTCCAGCTGTGCAGGGGAAGGACAGCTGGAGATGGTTTTCTGCCTTAAGGTGTGACTGCTCCACTAGGGCAAACAACACTAAGCTGATTAATATTTGCTCGACTTACAGTGTAAGGTGTAACAAGGCCCTTCATTTCCTTTCCCACTCAGCAGGACAGGAAACCTTCTGTATTTCTCCTTTTGGATGATATCCCCCCTGGTCAATAGCCCCCTCTAACTAAACTGTCACGTCAAGTGAGTGTGGTGGCCTCTGTTCTGTCCTTAGTAAAGCATGATTCACATCACAAAGCCACCATGCCCTGGCATGGCTTGAAGCTGTGCTCGGGAAGAATCCCAGACCCAGTGCGTGTGTAAGTACTGCTTACCCTAGAGACACAGGGTGTTTGCTTTCTGCTTTGACTAAACTCACAACTGTAGTAGTCCCTCGCATTGCATGCATGTGCGCGTTGGTTTGTTGTGAGATAGCTCCTCAACCAGCATAAATGGACACAGATCTGGTGATTTCAGTGGAGCTATGCTGACTTACAGTGGCTAAAGATTTCACCTTGGGTTTTCTTTGGCTAGACAACTTCAGATAAGAGGGCTTTCTTCATTATGAAACAGAAAATGGAGGTGCAAGTCCCAGTGGTTACTGCACTTCATTCTTTTTTATGGGAGGAAAAAAAACCCCAACAACACACGAAACCTTTTACAAATCACATCCTGGAACTATCAAAGGGAGATGGGAGGTAATGTTTTCAATGGCTCCAGAGTTATTTAGGAGCAAAAGTTTCATTGTCAAAAGTGATTTAGACTTTCAAGAGGAAAACATTTCTTTCTGTCCTTGTAATCCAGTATTAATGAGACTTAGATTCATAGACAGATCTGTGGAAGGCTTCTGAGCTTCCTAAAACATTTCTGAAAATAGGATTTGGACTTCTAAGTCAATTAGGCCCCTGTGAAAATGGCATCTCTTGTCTGTTAAGCATCCAAATAATTCAGGACTAAAATAGCCTGATCTCCAGCTCCCAGGCTCGCACACAGTATTCAAATAAAGCTGTTTACAAGCATATGATACAGAGAGAGAACAATATAATTAAACCCAGCAAGCATGCAATGAACTGGAGACAGAAATGAGAATGTGCTGTGCCAAGGGATGCGCCAGGACCAGAACCTTCCATTTCAGCAAGCTCTGTGGCTCCACAGATCGATTGCCTTCTAGGTAGCTTTTTTTAAGAAATTCAGAGATCTCCAGGCAGAATTTATTTCTGCAAAGAGAAATGGGTTGGGGATCCCTGAAGTAGAATCTATTTTTTGGTCAGAAAAAAAATCTGCTCATTTTGCTAAACCACTGAGAAAGGAACAACCACAAATGTCTAGACCCTGATCCAAACAACTGTCCAGCCATGTGGCTTGGACTGGGCTCTTTTTTTTTTTTCCCCCCCTTTGGTCCCACCGATGCTGCATGTCTGTTGTCTTGGTTCCATTATCTTACTGAATGATAAAATGCTCGCAGCACAAAGGTGCCCTGCTCACATCAGTTGACCAAATAGAAATTATTCTTTCATATGGAGGGCATAGAACACAATTATTTGCATTTCCTCTGTGCTATGGTATCCATCCCATGGGGATTTGTGTTATTCATGCTATTGGTTTTCTCTTAGCTGAGGAAGCTCAGCTCTTCCAGGTGAGTTATTTGCTTTCTGGTCTTGGTTGGCAGTAGCTCTGCTCAGCAACCTGTGTTGGCTGACCCACTTGGGGGCTCTCCACAAGTCAAGATGGTTCTTCCAGTCCAGCTGCTTCAAACTTTTTCCCAAGGGGAGCAAGGGGAACAAACACAGCTGAGAAATTCATCTCTGGTTTGTGCTCTCTTTTCAGGGTTGTCCGGGGAGACGTGGACCAATGGGGCCAAAAGGAGACAAAGTGAGTAAACTGGAAAATGCATGAAGTTTGTTAGATGTGGTGTAGATCCCAAGAGCAGTACAGCTCAACCATTCCTCCTAAGAAGAAGGTGCCTGTACATTTCTAAAAAGACCAATACCCCTACTGGCCCAATACTTGGATTTGGAAGGGGACAACAATACCACAATTTTGACTGGATGTTTTAGGATGAGATTGGTGTGTACGTTTTGAGATTTTATTTCTGTACAAACAAGTGTCTCAGCTACTTGCTTTACCTTGAACCACCACTAAATGTCAAAGGGAGGTTGGGATTATTATCTCCATTTTACATTCTAGGGAAACTGAGGCACATAGTGGTGAAGTGACTTGACTTGCCCAAGGTCACCTGTCAGGACAGTGGCAGAGCTGGCCATCAAACCCAGGTTCCACAAGTCTCTGCCCAGTGCTCTGTGCACAGGTGATCCTAGTCTTTCAACTACAATAAATTATCGTGCTTCAGGAGTAGCCTCTCAGCTTCTGCTTGACTTGCAAGGTGAATGTATCCCTCTTGATTTTGTGGAGTGCTGTGTATCATTTTGACCACTATGAAGGGCCTATGAAGGGAGACTTTAGCCACTGGGCAAGATTATTACAAATGTGTCATTGATAAAGATGCCCAAAAGTTTGGTTGAGCTTGGAAGAAGTGGACGTTGCTCCAGCACTGTTGCACATGCTATAGTTTGCTTCAGATTTAGCCTCTTACAAATCACTGCAAGGAGGAGGGAGCATTCATATGCATTTCCCTTTCACCACTCCAGAGAGGCTGTCCAAAGGTTGTGTCCTGGCACAGCACCTGGTGTTTCAGCTTTAGACTCCAACTTCAACGCTTGGCACTGTTAAATCCTAGTCTTCCTGACTATCCAGTCTACTCGTAGTGTTTCCCATGATAGCTTTAAATGACCATGCCTTTTCTTAAAAAGGAAGTTACATGAAAGGGCAGTGCTTGAAAATGCAGCCAACAAGGCCACAAAGGGATGTTGGTTTTTCAGATGTGGCCTACAATTTTGGCTATTCTGGTACATAGATAATAGTGATTTTGCTGCTTGATATATTTGAGCTAGCGTCATTCACTGTAGTTTATCTGTATACCTAAGGTGATATATACAGCACTTGCAGTGTCTAATAGATGCTTTGAGGGGTGGCAAGGGGTATAGTAATTTTATTGAGATCAGTACCTCTTACTGTGCCACTTTGGAGAGAGACCTGGGCAGAGCGGTGCAGATGTCACATGCAGTACTAGTCTGGCCAAGCTGCAGGGAAGCTGTGCTGCCTGATGGACACAACACTGGACTTGAACTCAGGAGACTTGGATTTTTCCATTGGCCTGCTGGGTGACCTCAGATAAGTCAATCCAGTTATCTGTGACTCAGTTTCACAATCTGTAACATGGGGATAATTTTACTAGCCTTCCTTGGTAACCTTGTGGTGTCTCAAAATAAAGCAAGTAGTTCAAAAACCACTCTGGTGTTTGTACAGAGATTCAGCCTCACACTCCATTTATGAACCTGACCTGTTTTGTATGTTTGAGACCTACCGATGGTAAGTGCTGCTTAGTAACTCATGTACAGTTTCCTTCTCTCTGTGTGGGTTGGGTTACATACAGCGAAATACATCTGTATTCTTCACATTTGTTTGTGTTCAGTGCAAGTGTCAAAGTTCACTCCTGATTTTCCCAGAGTGCCAGGGTTGCTCGCATCTGGGGATTGGTTTAACCGCATTTTGTTCTCCGGGCTTGACATCGAAGTTCATATCTGAGTTTCCCAAAAGTTGCCTTTGTAGTTTGGGTTCCCAAATCCAATCCTGGATTGAGACCATTCTTCTCTTTTCAAGGGGCATCCCGGACCAATGGGGCAAACAGGTGTCCCTGGAGATCCTGGCCCTGCAGGCAGCCCTGGGGTCCCTACCATTGTCCTCTGGAGGAATTCTGAGGAGGACCGGCTGGCGTTCATGGTGAGTCTCGGACAAGCCCATCTCAGTTAAAAACTCTAGGAAAACTTAAACTGTTCACTTTTGGGAGCAATCCTGGGGAGAGTGGGTAAGGGCACTGGCAATAAGGCCAAGTGGTTACTTAGCCTAGGCATGTTTATGTCTTGAACACATGTAAGTTGGGTATGTGGAGTTTTGGATTGGTATTCTTTATTAACTGGCTTCTGGTGAGTCCTAAAAGGTCCTAGGATCTTCCCATACACTAATCATCCCAAAGACCAAAGGAGTGAAGAGCTTATCATCACTTGATGCAAAATCTGGGGAGCAGCAAGATAAAATTGTGCTTGCTTCCCTATTAGAAATGCACCAAAGCACAGGTGCCCACCCTTTCTCATCTAGGGGACTTTCATTACCTGGTAGCAACAAGAAGCAATTCCTTGCCTATGTGGACTAGCCATGAAATGCACTGGGGACACAGCCTTCTTAACAGATGTGTGTGGGGCAGGGATTGCTAAGGTGAGACAATGTGCTATGTGTTCTGGAACATAGCTTTGATTTGCTATAACTTCACTGGCAGACTTCCTGCAAGGGCTTCACCCAGGAACAGAGAGACGTGTTTTGCCAAACAGCAGGGACAGGAGCAGGGGCAGTTTTCCCCTTTCACAAGCCCAGGTTTTCAAAATACCCTGCCTTTAAATACATCTTTCAGCTTTGCTAAAGATCAAAGCTGAGAGGAGTGGCCGATGGGCTGCACTGGGATTGTTAATCTGTGGTTTTCTATTTCAAGCACTGGGTTGTTGGGTTTTTTTTCTTCCTAACCTACATTCAAGAGCTTTGCCATTAAGGGGGTGGGGGAAAGCAATCCTAATTAAAACCACATGGAAAGAAGAGCAGGCATGCTAAGAGGAAACATGTTCCAAGCCAGTGACAGTTCCAGCTGAAGCTGTCCTAGCATGAAATGGATTCAGTATGTTCTGTATTTATTACTTTTTCTTTATTAGGGTTGCACGCTGCTGCGACATAATGTTAGGAAAGGTATATTAAAAGTCTTTGATGTTTTAATGCTTTTTAAAGCCTCATCGTATTCCCTGCTGGCTGCGATGCATACAGCTTGAATTGCTGGCCAGCAGTAACACATGTTGCTATATCAGAGGCTATGGCAGCCCTTTTTTAATGCTGAGCTAGTGTTCCTAGATGCTTCATGTAATGCCCACAATCTCTAATCTCAAGAGGTAGAACACTGTAATCTCAAGAGGTAGAATTACTGTAAACCTGGCTTTCCAACGAGGTCTCATCATCTCTTTTCAGAGTGGGAAAATGTTAATTGTAGCTCCGTGTTACAGATGTGGAGGCTGGAACCAAAGACTTTGTTGTAAGAAACAGGCCCCATGTCATGTTGGCAAATCAGTGGCAGAACCAGGAATAGGACTATTAACACCTAAATAGTAGGCCTGTGCGAATAGGGAACTATTGGATTCGGGTTTGGATTTGGCCAATTTGGATGCCAGTGATTCGATTTGGAGCTCCGAATTGTTTCCCCACTTTGATTTGGCCAAATCGGCTCTGAAGCTTCGGAGCCAATTTGGAGATTTGGCCATAGGGTATAATGGGGAATCAATTAAATATCTATAACTTTGTTGTTTCTTGTCTGATTTGGATGAAACTTGTGGGGATGGTAGCCTCTGCTGCGAGCATGAAGTCTGCCAAGTTTCAAGGAGGTAGGTACCAGAGTTTGGGGGAAACTGAACCCAAAATTCTTGAAAGCAAAACTCATGTCGTGTATGTGTAAAGCTACAGTGGGGTCAAAACTGCAGGGGTGCTAGCCCCTGGTGAGGCTACAAAGCCTGCCAAGTTTCAAGGAGATAGCTGCAAGGGTTTGGGGGAAACTGTACCTCAAGCTGTGGACAAGCAAAACTCGTGACATGGGTGACACTGCATATGTTAAGGTGCAGCAGGGTGACAGCTGCAGGGATGGTGGCCCCTGCTGAGGCCACAAAGCCTGTCAGGTGTTGAGGAGATTGGTGCAGGGGGGTTCTGGGGCCCTGCACCCCTAGCTGCTGACAGACAGAACTCGTAACATGGGTGCTTGTGGGACTGACTGTCTCTGTCTTGGGGCAGTGGATTGTCTGTATTAATTATTTCCTCTCAGTCTGTGGTTTTGTAGGTGTTGATCCTTGCTCGTTAACTCATTATGTAGTAGCTACTAGTAGCTAGCTACTGTGTATTGAGCTGGTCCCTGAGTGAATCATGACTGATTGGTAACATAGCAGCTTAGCAGCCAGACCTGCAGTAGTTACCCCCCGCCCCCTATGTCCTAAGACAGACGCAGTCCCACAAGCACCCATGACACGAGTTTTGCCTGTCAGCAGCCAAAGGTGCAGGGCCCCAGAACCCAGAAGCCCTGCACCGATCTCCTTGACAGCTGGCAGGCTTCGTGGCCTAAGCAGGGGCTAGCGGGTCTGCAGTTTTAACCCTGCTGCACCTTAACACACACAGTGTCACCCATGTCACAAGCTTTGCTTGTCCACAGGTTGAGCTGCAGTTTCCCCCAAACCCCTGCACCGATCTCCTTGAAACTTGGCAGGCTTTGTAGTCTCAGTAAAAGCTACCACCCTTGCAGTTTTCACCCTCTTGTGACTTAACACACACGTGACACGAGTTTTGCTTTCAGAACTTTGGGGTGCAGTTTCCCAGAAACCCCTACACCTATCACCTTGAAACATGGCACACGTCATGCTCGCAGCAGAGGCTACCATCCCTGCAAGTTTTCATCTGAATCAGCCCAAAGACAACAAAGTTATATAAATTTCATTGATTCCCCATTATACCCTATGACCGAATCTCTGAGTCTTTTCCAAATCGATTCGGAAAGCCTAAAGCTTCCTGTGATTCGATTTGGATTCATAGATTCAGCCTCTGAATCATCCTAACCATCTCTCAATCTGAATCATGATCTGAAGCTTTGCACAGCCCTACTAAATAGCTAAAGAGGCAAAGACATACCCGTGTCCGCTGATAACTGGCTAGAAGACTAGACCTTCTTTTCCCTAATTTAGACCTGGCCATGAAGATCCTACTCATACCTAGAAATGAAGGCATACAGCCTGGAGAAGGCCCCAGTTGTATAAAATGTGGTAGCCCATCTGCTTAGTAACACTGGTAGTTGTGAAGGAATAACCCCTGATTCTCTAATCTCTTTCTTGAATATACAGTCCAGATCCAGGTCTCTCTTCTGTTTTGGTAAAGCCTTTGGTGAGACTGGATTATCATTATCTGAGAGAGTGGCTCTTTTTACATTGCTGTGGTGTTTCCATAACAGCTGTGTTCCTGTGGATCTATGTATTAAATGATATTGGAAGGCTCGTGGTTGCAGAGGACAGAATGTGCTGAGTAATAGGATTATAGGTCCCACAATGAGAAGGGAAAAAGTGGAGGTTCTTCAGTTTCAAAACTCATTACAAAATTTAACTCTTTAACTTAGCTTCCTCTTGGTTCTCTGTAATGAGCACACACTGTGCTTATCCAAGCTATGTCTCATAGGTTGGGAGACAAGGTAGATAGTAGGGCTTTTATTGTAGTTTTGTCTTGGGAAGTAGTCAAATAGTCCTGTCTTTGGATCTATAAACAACCTAGATGTCCAGATGCAGAATTTTTCACTCTTAGTTTATAATCTCACTCATGCTACCCTGAGTTCTCAGTGACCTCCAAAGTCTCCTTTATATTCTGAATCTGATTGTGATGGACAACTATTTAAATATACTTAGGAGTCTAATGCCCACCAATATTTTTAGAGACCTGGGTTTAAATTCTGTGGAGCAGGAACTGTCTTTGTGTTTTGTATTTGTACAGTACCTGGAGAGGCAATTTGATCTGTGACTTGTATTTCAATGGGCCGCCGTAGTTCAAAAGAAAAATGATGATGACAGCACTCGAGTTTAAAAGGCTCCAAACAGTATCTTGCCATGGTCTGGAAATGAATCTTTTCCCATGTTGCGCAACGCTGCGGTGGTGACTAGTTGGCTACACATTTGAGGAGAAGGAAAGTGCAATGGTTTGGGTACAGCCTGGGTAATAGGAGACTTGGGGTTTTTTTCCTGTTGTGCCTCCAACTCCTCTGTGACACTGGGCATGTCATATAGTTTCCCTATGCCCCAGGTCCCCATGTGTAAAATGGGGATTGAGTATATCTCTGTTCCATGGAAGTGGTGTGAGGATAAATAAATTAAAGACTGAGAAGTGCTCAGGTACTAGAGAGTGTTGGGGCCATATAAGTATTTTAGATTGATTCCTCTGAAGCATTTTAATTGTTGACTGCAGACATGCATGGAGCAGTGGTCTGATACGGTAGGATGCATCCTGTGTTACAACAGCAGGCTAGGCACTAGGCAGGTAATTGCATAGGTCCCTCTTGAACTGTAGGATGTTATTGGATTGTGTATTTTGGTGGCTTCATGACATGATTTCACCATCTATAAAGTTGACGTGACTTTTAGTATTCAAACACAGGGGGTTGGGGGCAATAGGAAGGGCTGAAGCAGTTTAGATTTTACAAGGCTTGCTTGTAGCAGAAGCCCTTCCTCATTCCTCTGGCCTTGTTGGCCATGGGCAGGTGTGCACCATAAAAGCCGACACTGTGGGTGCTGAAGAGGGACCAGAGCAGATGTGGCTCAGGAATGCATGTCTGAGCCTGACTGTGCACGTTATGTAGTTAGGTGCTCTTGTGTATATTACTGAGGCAGAAGAGCATCTTTCCCCATGACAAAGAATATCAAAGGGGAAGGAATACATTGGGAACCTGTGGCTAGAAAGGAGTAAGATTATGATTCGGGGATATACCAAGAAACTTGGAGGTCGTTAGGCCAATCTTGCTTTTACTTTTCTGTTAAGAATGTGACAGTGGAGGAAGGGTGAGTGTTTCTAGAGGGGGAAGGGAGAGATGCGTTTGGAGGAGTGGGCTGTAGAAGTGCAGGTGTTTGGCAGGAGATGAGAAGGAAACCTTTAGGCTGTGAGTAGTGCCTTTGTTA